AGATGCAGGACGAGGCGCTGCGGCTCGACAAGGAGGAGGGCCCGCCGCCGCCGCCGCAGGGGTGGGAGATGTACCACGCGCCAGGCACCAGCGTTTTCTACGGCCGCCGCCTGTGGCTCCCGCCGACACCGGTCGCGCACCAGCAGCAGCAGCACCAAGCGTTGTCGCCCGTGATGGAGCGGCATACGATTCGCGTGCAGCTCACCACGCGGGATCCCTCGTTGGACCCCGAGTGCGACGTGCGGGGGGAACACTTTCCCTTCTCCTTCTTTGCGCAGCGCGTTGTAGATGGCGCTATTGCTGGTGGTGGTAGTGGCGTCACATCGTCACCGCGGAATGGCGTTGACGGCGCTGGGGAGGAGGTGGAGGAGCGTGGCCTGTACGAGCAGAGCGTTGAGGTGCGTGCGGACTTTGTGGACGGAGAGTTGGTCATTGACAACGTGGTGTTTCACGGCACCTTCAAGCTGCAGCCGCCGTCACCGCCACCACCACCACCAACAGCNAGTTGGTCATTGACAACGTGGTGTTTCACGGCACCTTCAAGCTGCAGCCGCCGTCACCGCCACCACCACCACCAACAGCAGCAGCAGCGGAAGGTGCGAGTGGCAGCAGCAACAACAGTGCACCAGAAGCCACGGGTGACGCTGATGCTGTTGCTGTTCCCGCGAGTGAAGTGCGGTACAACAACATCTTTGGCGGCTATCCGGGGCCGAACCTTGACGAGGCGGAGGAGGAGGTGCTCGACGGCATCCAGGCGTGGCTCGCGGAGCGCTGCATCGACGACCAGTTCGGCGAGTTCGTGGGGCAGTACTCGGTGTGGGTGGAGCAGATGGAGTACGAGCGGTGGCTGCGGCAGCTGCGGGACTTTGTGGCCGCGTGAAGGCAGCAGCCGTGGTCAAAGGGAGACGAGGAGGGCTATTTGGGGGGAGGGGGAGGCGTTGATGCAGACAGCATGGCACGGCGCCGTTGCTACTCTCTCTCTCTCTGTGCGTGTGTGGGTGACCAGTTGGATTGCCGGCATGAGTAATGTGGCCATTTACGCCACGCACAAAACTATATCTACATGGAGTCTGGGCTGTGCTGCGAAAGGGGGCGGGGGCCGGTACACCACCCGTCTCTTTCCCTCCTCGAAACTCTCTCTCTCTCTCTCTCCTACTCCTTCTCTATTTGCCTGTGTGGGTTGACCTGCTACACCCACGGGTGCATACTTGAAACCTGTGCGCATACATGCGTGTGCAGCTAGCTGTGCGCGCGCCATGCCCTCACACAAGAGCAAGAACAGCGGCAGTGGCGCCCCTCCGCCGCCGCCGCCGCCGCGGCCGGACCCCGTCACACTCGAGCAGATCTACGCTGGCCTCACGGCCGCGGATGTGGCGATGGAAGAGCGCGCGTACTTCCTCGTCGCGCTGAGCACGGTCGCCTTCCACCCGAGCGTCAAGCTGTTCCTCTTTGAGCACACACCGCTGCATGTGCCCGTGGCGAACAGCAGCAGCAGCAGCAGCGATGCGGGGGTTTCGGGGGTTGCGGCAGAGAACACACGCCGGCGCGAGGCGGTGCTGAAGAACATCGCATTCTTCCTTGCGCAGCGCAACAGTGCGGTGGCACAGGAGTGCCGCTGGGAGACCGTCGCGCTGCTCGGCGAGTTGTGCCGCCTCGAAAGCCTCAACCCGCTGCGTCCAGGCGGTGGCGGTGGCAGCAGCAGCAGCGTCATGTCCCCTCAGCAGGAGGTGGTGCAGAAGATAAATCACTACGCCCGTGCCAACCTGGAGTTCCTCACGTTACTGCCGTGGTTTGTGCCGGCGGTGCGGGAGCTTATTGGCGAAGATGCCGGTAATGCCACTACATCGGAACCGTCCTCGTCGTCTGCCGTGCGTCGAGCGGCGCGGCGAAGCGCAGGCGCCGGTAGCGGAGAGCCTGACAGCAATGGCGTGTACGAGACGGATGAGGACGTGCGCATCGCGTTGAAGGACATTCTGGCGGCACTGCCGGAAGTCCAGCGGGATGGTAGTAGTGGCGGTGGCGACGACGGCGCTGCTGCTGCTGCACCGACGGTGGCGTGGTCGGCTGAGCGTCTGGATCAGGCGCATGACTTGATGTTCCTTGATGCCTCGACAACAATGCTGCACCTCATCCCGCTTGTGTCACGCAGCAGCCATACGCAATGTGCCCACTGTGAGAAGCGCTGCAGCGACAAGAGTAATAACGGTGGCAGCCTCCTTCGCTGCGGTAGCTGCAAGGCGGTCTACTACTGCGACGCCACGTGTCAGCGGGCGCACTGGGCATCTGCCCACCGTACACCGTGCAAGTGCTACAAGCAGCTTGTCGACGACATTCAGGCGGAATACGAGGCACTGAACAAGAAGCAGGGCGGCGGCGGCGGCAGCAGCAGAAAGAAGAAGCAGCAGCAGCAGCAGCAGAACACGGTGACGGTGTTAGAGGTGCCGCTTGAGCCGAGTCTCTTCTACGCGACACGGCGGTATTTGTACGACCACCGCGACGCCTCATTCTCAGATGTGTCGTTTATGGATTACTTCATGAAGTACACCGTGCGTGGGAGCTGATATATATATATATATATA